TTTTTGGGTCCATTTCAGTGAATTTTTGGGCCCCTTTTGGTGAATTTTTGGGCTCACCTGGACGGGATTTTTTGGGTCAATTCCAGTGAATTTTTGGGTGCATTCCAGTGAATTTTTGGGCCCATTTTGGCGAATTTCGGGCCTCACCCGGATGGGATTTTTTGGGTCCATTCCAGTGAATTTTTGGGTCCATTTTGGCAAATTTCGGGCTCACCTGGACGGGATTTTTTGGCTCCACTTTGATGAATTTTTGGGCCCCTTTCAGTGAATTTTTGGGTCCATTTCAGTGAATTTTTGGGTCCATTTTGGCGCATTTCGGGCCTCACCTGGACGGGATTTTTTGGGTCAATTTCAGCGAATTTTGGGCTCACCTGGACGGGATTTTTAACTCACCTGGACGGGATTTTTTGGGTCCATTCCAGTGAATTTTTGGGCCCATTTCAGTGAATTTTTGGGTCACCTGGGTGGAATTTTTGACTCACCTGGACGGGATTTTTTGGGTTCACTTTGATGAATTTTTGGGTCCATTCCAGTGAATTTTTGGGTCCATTTTGGCGCATTTCGGGCCTCACCTGGACAGGATTTTTTGGGTCCATTTCAGTGAATTTTTGGGTCCATTTTGGTGAATTTTTGGCTCGGATTTTTTGGGTCCATTCTAGTGAATTTTTGGGTCCATTCCAGTGAATTTTTGGGTCCATTCCAGTGAATTTTTGGGTCCATTTTGGCGCATTTCGGGCCTCACCTGGACAGGATTTTTTGGGTCCATTTCAGTGAATTTTTGGGTCCATTTTGGCGCATTTCGGGCCTCACCTGTCCCCACCTGTCCCCACAGCCTGCCCTGACCACGCCCCCCCCGAGCTCTCGGTGTCCCTCCTGAGCGACCCCAACCAATCAGAGCCCGAGGTCCTCCTCCTCTGCCAGGTGCGTGGGCGTGGCTCCGCCGAGGCCCGCCTCACCTGGTTGGTCAACGGTGACGTCACCGAGATGGGGGAGGAGCCAAGCAGCTGCCAGGAGGGCGGGGCCGGCCAGGTGACGCTGAGCGGGCGGGCCAACGTCAGCCGGGAATTGTGGGAGCTGGGCGCCACCTTCACCTGCCGGGTGAGCCACGCCCACCTGGCCACGCCCCTGCAGGCCAACATCAGCACCTTCTGCAAATGTGAGTGCGGGTTTTGGGGGATTTTGGGGGGATTT